TACTGGCAATGAATGCACAGCCATTTCGATATGTTCAGCTGATGCACTGATTCTCGAAAATGGTAGCTAACACTGTCTATTTTTTTTTGATTGGCAGAATAAGCAGTTCCTAAATGAAGGACCTGGAGGAAAAAATTAGCATAGTTGCACTCGGCTTATGCTCTATCCATTGAAATCGAATCCCCGTACAGTTGTCCGAGCATCTTAGTTCTTGTTCTATTCGATTCTAAGTGTCTGCAAGCCCAGCTTATAGCAAAAAAAACAGAGGATTTTCTGTTATCTTTGAGCTTGTAGTTCATTTTCAGGTGAACCCAAGCGCGACGTTTTGCCAGCATCAAGGCGAACAAAAACATACAAACAAAGACAGGTTCAAAGAAAGCGTGAAATTGGTGCTGGCACATCGAGTGACTCTTTTGAGAGACAAGTATGGATATCACCGCATCAAATTTTTTAAGTATTTCTCATGGAAAACTTCTTTTTTGCGTTATCAGATCTTGCAGTCTATTTTAGTACAGTTGCAGCATAAAAGTGGATTTTTCAGCGTCTCTTTACGATTGCTATTTAGCCGATTTTGCTGTCTGCCAGCTGCAAGAGGAAGGGAGAGGGGGGTGGTCAGCGGGAAGGGAGAGAAGGTGGGAGGTAATTTTAGACGAATAGGACAAGTTTATACGAATTGCTTATGCCGAGATCAGCACCTTTTCAGGCACACGGCATATGCGTGCATGATCACGAGATAACGTTCAATGAAAACAAGGATTCGGCGATCAAAACAGTCGCGTGGATGATTGTGTTTGGCGACGGTTTGCACAATTTCATCGATGGTATCAGTATTGGCGCCGCTTTCAGTGAATCGCTGCTCAGTGGTTTGAGCGTCAGTTTAGCAGTGATGGCTGAAGAATTCCCGCATGAATTAGGTTCTTATTATGTCACCAAAAACCGTCATTCATAGATCTTTATCATTTACAGGTATGTGCAGTTGTAGGATGAGGGCTTTTGGAACAGCAATTTGTTCAATTGCATCTTTCGCATTGTATGTCGGAACGTATGTATTACTGATGATGGGAATTTTGAATCGAGGCAACTGGGTTCACACACCCAAAAATACACATCCACCCACATACATACATACATACACATACACACATGCATACACGTACACACAAATAAGCATGCACACAATGGATATTTAAAAGATTTATTGGTATTCATTCCGGACAGTTTTTATTAACAGTGCGAGAATTTTTTAATGAGCAGCGTGAAATTTTTACAAAATTTTTTGCGTTTGACGATAAAGTATCGGTGTTTGGGAAGTTTAGAAATTGTCGTTGTTTGGGCCGCTTGTTCTGGTCCAGTTTTTGCACCGAAATTCGGATGGATGTTTTGTGCAGGTGATGTGGCGATTCTTCTCAACGCTGGCATGAATCTGAAGCAGGCTTTGTTCTACAATTTGCTCAGTACAATTACGTGCTTCATTGGTTTTGTGATTGGTGTTGTCTTGGGTAGCGTCGAATCGACACTGCGATACGTTTTTGGCTTCTCTGGCGGCATGTTTCTTTACATTGCACTTTCCTGCATGGTGCGCCATTATTACGATTATTTATTATTATTATTCTTTATAAGTATTACTTCGATGCTTAAGTAGCTTTTCTTTTTATCGATGTATACTTCTTGCCATTGGCTCAGAAGCTGGCTGCGGCTCCATTCCGCTCTGGTTCTGGTATTGTCACTTCATTCCTTCTAGTAGCTAAGGGGATTCTTCACTTTTTCTGACTGCTTTTCTGGTCGATTACGCTTCTTTTGCCCATTATCAAATTTCCCGACGTATTCGTTCTGGCGTTTAATAAAATTTATTTTCAGATGCCAGAAATGAAGTCGACTATGGAGAAAGCCCTGGAAAATGGGTATCGCGATGCGCTGTTTGTTCTTTCTTTGCAGACCACTGGCTTGGCTGTAGGCACTTCCTCAATGTTCTTCTTTGCGCGTTATGGAGATATGATCACGTTTCAATAAGTTTATCTCTTTTTTATTTTGCTGCATCGGCGTTCATGTCTGTCCCCCAGTCATAATTTGCCGTCACTCAGCCAGTTTGAATCAAATTTGAATAGCCCATTTCAAAAGCGCTTCAGGGCTTGCCCTTATCTGCCGGGCTATTTCCCCTGCACATCTCTTCCCCTGTCGTTGAATTTTTCTGGTAATGAAGTAATATAATCTAGTGACGCATGTTTCACCCCTGCGACGGTTACCCACCCAGTTATTGTCTGCCGGTCCCTTAAAAATCAGGTGTTGTCATGCAGCGCAAGTTTCTCCAGCTTTTGCCGTTTGCCTTAGGTTCTTCTTCATCGTTGGTGTTAAATGGCCGTGGTGCACATAACTGTTATCCATGATTTGTAGCTCGCAAAAACGCAGCGAGCGCTTTCGTGCTATTTTCAGCGTCGCCGTTTTTTAAATGTACGTGTTCTCCAGGAAGACGTACGTCAAGTAGGAAAGAGTTTCCGTTTTCTGTTTTGCTAGGAATGAATTTCGCTTTTTATTGTAGCATATGTTCAATTCATCTCTCAGTTCAAATGATTGCTGTTTTTGGCCACCAAATCAATTCAGATTGGATTTGAAGACTTCGTTTTAAAATCGTAAGGACTCAGCTGCTTTAAAGTTACGTTAAAGTAATCTTTTTCTGCCGCCACAGATCCGTTAATTTTATGCAAACTTTCTGTTTTTATGGCTCCAAGATTGCTTCACACCGGTGAGTTAAACGCTGTTTTGCATAGTGCAATAGTAAATTCTAGTCCTACTGTTTGAGCCATACTGGGCTGTCTTTTCCATGTTACTTGCAAATTTCTTGTTTAAATTAATCATTGCTGAAACAATGGATTTGCTATGCGGAACTGGTTTTGCTTCTAAAAGTATGTGCGAAAATTTTTGATACGTCCTATCATAACCAGTCTGGAACAGTTTCTCAAATTTGGTTTTTTGCTCGTCAAATGTAGTGCATTTGCGGTAACCACATAGTTTCATTTTTAATGCAGATGAAGAAATTCTGCCAGGCGTAAAAATAGGGAACTGTCGAGGACCATGGTAATTGACCGTTTTTCCGTTTCTTCAGGATTTCTCTCTAGGTTTTGTTGTATGCACTGCTAATTGATTCTTTACCTGCTGATGAAGGAACTCATTAAATGTCATCAACATTGCCTCCGCTCCCTTTTTAAGAAACTCTCAGTGTTACTGTGATGCAGTGTCGGATTTGCGATGTAGGGAGGCAAGCTAAGGGCCCTTGCCCCGGGCTACAATTTCAAAGAGTAATAGATTGAAGAGGAAGGCAACCCTTTCCGGACGTAAGTCATCATCACTTGCTTTTTTTTACCCTCGACGACAGCGGCGGACCTAAGTATGCACGGGTTTATTGAAAAGAAGAACTTAAAAGCGGATGAGAGACAGGACAGTGGCAGTTTTAAGTTTTTGCCCCGCCTCAAAAAAAATCCAAGATCCGGCACTGCTGAGGTACGGCCATGCCTGGCTTTTCTTTTATAATAGTGCTAGAAGTTTTTTGAAAGATAGGATACTGGTATGCTACAAAGAAGGCTAATATATGAAGTGTAATTTGACAGTAAAAAAAAAATTGTGGAAAAAAGCTATTCTAGTTATAGTGAAAAATATTAAAAAAATGGCTGAATAAAAGGACTTAGTGCATGTTGCTGGCTGCCTTGAACAGCCGATGAAGACAGCACAGAGGACAGCATTTTGAGATTCCAGACCACGATATACATTTTGAGACATCGGCTTGCGATGTGGTCGGCTGTTTCCTCTTCGCGCCCGCACATACGGCATTGGGTGGAGCCATTTGGTCCTGCGGCCCGAGTTCTGGTGGTAAGGGCCCACTCTTGCACCCCGAGGACATTTCTAAAGTTTAGGCCGCTTACCATAGCCTTATGGATCCATAGGCTACTGAGCCGGACATCAATATTGCCTGCTCCCCGGGCGAAGGCACCCGCATGTGGTAACGCTTCCCATCTGGCTAGCCGGCATCTCGCTCTGTTAGCTCTCATGAGGCCTCTCAGATGCCGGAATAAGGCAGTCGGCTTTGTAAATACAAGGCCATTCACACTGACCTTACCCTGCCTGATGTCGCACTCATGAGTTATTCCTTCTTCTGCAAGGATCTTCACGCCATCGGCGATCGGACTCCTTTTAGAGCGTTCAGACGGTTGCTGGAATAGGAAGTGTTGGGGTCGCATTGATGCCGATGTGGTTATATAAGCCCAGGTAGCTATGATGCTTTCCCGCAGGCAATCCTCTAAAGACTCCAACCCGCACCCACCATTTTCCCTTGGGATGTAGAGCCGGTCCGCAGCGCTTTTCCGGAAGCGGCATTTCGTTTCCGCTAGGACATCGCGAATTTTTCCGTCTAAAATTTTTGCC